GAGGAGATCCAGGACAGAAATTCAAGAAACCAATTTAACCTAAATCAGTTAAGTCTGATACTTCATCCATCCAAACTGGTTTCAGCCAATTTGAAAGTGGTTTAAGTGTGCTGCACTTCTGTTGTGTTATAGATTTGAACCGGTTTCCGATCACTTATACTAGTTTATATGTAATTTCTGTCCCTAACCATAGTGTCTTATTTTCATTGTTTTATTTACTACTTGAATTGTCTCTTGATATTGAGGCACAATATAAGAGTAAACAAATGAAATTCTGTAGTTTGTCATATACCAAAATCAAGATAGATCTTCTGGCCTTGAATTTTTCAATTCTACAAATCCAAACTAGTCCAGAATACTATATTAAAGGTAAGGAATTTTTTTATGGAGTTCCTCCTGTCAAACCTTCTGTCATGGAGTCTTCCAAGGTGAATGCTTGCTTGGGTCTACCATGGCCTTGTCTAGTTCCTAAGCATACCCCTTGGGTTCTTGTACACGTGTTGATGTCATGATGTACACATGAGAAAAGTTTGCCTTTGTGTGGCTTAAAGGCTGTACACATTGCACGTACGTGAGTTTTGGAGGTTTTAAATGAGTTTGCATTGTTGAAAACTAAACTACACCAGGGGCTGCCTGGGTGAGCTGCTAGCTTTCCCAAGCCTGGCTGGGCATCCAGAGTTCTGTGCACCATCCCTGTTGCCTTCTCTGGTTGCTAGCATATCCAGCTACCCTCCTGCCACCTCCCCTTCCTGCCCCAGGGGCAAGCCAGCCCATTTCTGGGTGGCCTCTGGTATCCTGCCAGCTGTAGGAGTCTGCTGAAGACAGAAGTGGTGAGGGGCCCAATCCTTTTTTTCTGTGGAGTCTGCCTGCCTCTCCTGTGGCTGGGGGCTGAGTGGACAGATTAAAGGCACAGATTAATGACCCCCTGGCTGTGGGAGAGGTGGGTAGGCTCTGCCCAGCCCCCCCCCCCCCCCAAAAAAAAAAAAAAAAAAAAAGGATCAGGCTCCTCACCACTTCTGCCTTCAGCAGGTGCCTGTGGCCAGCAGGACAATAACATATATACAGTAACAGAAAAAAATAAAACCCACCATTTTGAATAAAGCTCATCGTTTCAATTTAGGGGGCATAGAATGCAATCCTAAGGACCAAAACCCCATCATGTGTACAAGTGTCCTATAGAGTAGAGGTCGGGGAGAGCTCAGGTACCTTCCAGCTCTGAGGATCATGGTCTTTTGGTCTCTCACCCTGCCTGGTTCTTCATGGCTCTGAATCAAGGGGCTAGTATCTAGTTCTACTTCTGGGAGAGGGACTTCATCTCCTGTTGGGGAGATCCAGTACATCTAAAGTTCAAAGCAGCGTAGCAAACAGTCTCTTCAGTAATGACATTTACTGAGACAAAGGCCACCCAGTCAGAGGTTTTCTGCCCACTCCAAAGGGGTTAAGTAGTCCCTCTGTCCCCAGTCCACCCCACATAGCCTTGAACATCTACAGATACTTAGTTCCTCCCTTTCCAATCTCTCCAGGTCCCGAAAGCTGCACTCAGTGGCAACGCATAGAGTGTACACAGGGGTGCACCCCCTGACCGGCTGTGCTCCCCGCTTAGGTGATGCATAGGGGGGCAGTTGGGAGTGCCAGTGCCCTCCCTGTGAGCACCAGCCAGGGAGTGGGAGTGCCGGATATAGGCCACAGTCATTTTCGGGAGCAGCATGGCTGCTCACCAGTCAGTAAGCTTTGCCGCAGGGGGACTCTTCCCTCTCCTCCTGGTCAGTGAGATTGGCCATGGGGGGAAACCCCCCGGTCACTGACTGGTTGCTTGGGGGGGCATGTGCCCCCCCTCCCCCCCGACTAAGGTGGCACCAGTCGCCCATGGCTACACTTGTCAGCTGCTAGCCAGAAGAGTCTGGAAACTGTGACAAGCTGCTTCTCCCAACCAGCTCTCCTATTGTCACATTTATCTCACATTTGCCATGTATCATGCATCTCACCTTTACTGATATGTCAACAAAGCTGCTCAAGATTGTGTTGAAGCTAAAAGTCCATCTTGGCTACCCTGGCAAGTAATCCTTCATTCTCTGTTCATGGACTAACGAGGTAAACAGAGTCACACTCACACTCTAAGTACTCCATTATTATAACAACATGAGCATAATTAATACAGAGATACCACAATAAAACCCATAGTTTCCCTCACCTTCACATAGAACTCAGAACTCAAAGTAAATGGTTGTTGAAATTCTTAGCTGGTTGTAGCTTCACTCCCATATCTCTCATATTTGTGCCTTTTTTCCCCATTCGGTTTCTATGAAAGGGAAGAATTGAAAAAACCAAACCAAACCAAATCCGAAACAAAACCCAGTAATTCCATGATGGGTCCTGATCTTGTAGGTTCTCAGTCCTCTTTGTTTACCCTAATATTAGCACAAAGAACAGAGTTTGGTTGTTATGAATATCCATAATAGCTGGTTGGCCAAGATTCTTCTAGTCCTTGTTGGATGGACACCAGTCTGTTCTAAGTATATTTAGCTGTTGACATCTGTGCCCTTCCAAGCCAGATGAATCTGGGAAAAGTTTGGCCACTGTTTCTGGCTCTGGTTCTGTAAGGGTGTAAACAGTCTTTTTATGGTGGCACAAAGGCCAGACAAACAAATGTCCATGTCCCTTCATGCCCCAAATTTATGCTGTGACAGATGGTATGAACTTATGCTGCTGTTTTGTGGTTGGCGTCTGCTTGCTTTAAGGTGAGAGAACCCTGGGCAGCCCAGAGCTGCCTGCTTTCTGTAGTTGTCCTGAGCAGACACTCCCAGGGCTTCAGAAGCACCTGTCTGGTTTCCCCCATTTGGGGTTCCTTGGGCACACGTCCATACTCCAGTGTGTCCCTGGGGTGGGACTGCCAACCAGCTGATTAGTGGTCTGAGCCCTGGGTCTGTATTGGAACTGGCTTTTCCCATGTACAGCGAGGCTCCCTGGATATTCCCTGGGCCACATCTGTCTAAGCAGGGAACATGTTACCCATTGTTCTGCAGCATCAATGGGTGGGAAATTGGGCAATGTGAGTTTCATCCAGTGAAATGGCTCAGCTGTGCCAAGACGCATCCCAACACAGTTGATTTTTCTTTATTTGGTAACAACTGTTTATACCATAAGACACTCCCACAGTTAGACCTGGTCTGTTGAATGCAAGACTACAGTTGTGTGGCCTAGGTCTTGGACCTAATGCCAGAAGCAGATACCTCCATCTTCCTTCCCCCCTCTCCCCTGTTGCTTCTATAAGCTTTCTCCAGGGTTTGCTTGGGCTGTAATCACTGTGGGTTCTTGATTAAGCCCTTCACAGTCAACAGAACAGGAGAGTAAAAGGAAAACTTGACAAAGGAAATCCATAGGCACCATCATTTTGCTCTTTTGAAAAAGCACTGAAGTTACAGACCTGGCAAGCTAAAAGCCCTGGGGTTGTGACCCCCCTCCCTTTCTGGAAGTCTTATGTCTAGCCAGCAATGGTAGTGAGACAAGTCTCTTAACAACTGTCTTTCCAGGCAGTTTTCCTTGTATGTGGTGAATGGACTTTTTCTCTGCCCCTGGAAGCACTGCTTCATAAATACAGTCCCTGTTTGTCTGCCATGTGCCCAGGCTGAGAGAGTCAAGTCAGGCTGTTGTAGAGAAAGTCCATGTTCCATGGGATTGGGTTAGCAGCTGAGATGAGATTGGTGGCTCTAGATCACTTTGGCATACCTACATTAGGTATTATAATGTATGAATTATAACCAGCTGCCTAGACCAGGTTAGATATGTATTCAGCACCTAACACAACACAGGTCCAAAGGGAGTTTACAACACAAAATGAAGTCCACAAGACAGTCTGTAGTTGCATGGTATACCTGCATACTTAATTCCTGCAGGAAGAAGACTATTATTAGTTAGCTTAAACATTGCTGATCTTCAAGGTCATTGAATAAAAATATTAATCTTTGGCTTTTGCCTTTCTAATTCATTTTCATTCCAAATAGCAAATGCACGAGTCAAAAGCCCTGCAGGGTGTAAATAATAAATACATATTCTAGCCACACAAAGCGATTTACATTTTTTGAAATGGAGTCATTATTTTGCCTGTTATATGCATCATATCACTGCATTTTGCTGTGCTCCCTGGCAAACCCAGTAAAGGTCTTTATGTGTGCCCATAATTGCTGGTTTGTATAATTGTTGTATAATGACTCTAAAAATGTCATATGCTACAGATTAAACACAAACAAATAGGAGGAATTTCATCCAACTAATTCTGGGATTTCTGAGCAGTTTGTAGTATTTTATTTTGAGCTCAATACAGATGTTTTGGAATGTTGTGGTCTTGGAATAAAAGCTTTTTAGGACTTGTCAGATACCTAAATCCTATTAATATGTGACTGCAAGTTTATTAATATGGTAATTAATAACTTATGATACCTGATGATACCTGTTCATACTATTCAGATAACACTACACTAGCTATCTCAGAAATACCTTGGCTAGTCAAGATTTACAAGCTAACTTACTGTTCCCTGTTGTATGAAACAGACTTATTATTCTGTAAATTCAAGGCAAGTACTTTTTATTATTCTGTCATTTCCCTGAAAGGAATAGTTATTGATACTGAAAAGCACTGCCAAGGAACACAGAAATTTAGGTGGCAGTAAAAGTGTTGATAGGATATATTATTGACATCCATGCCCCTCTTCTCTCATCACAATCAGCAACAGCCTTGGCTACTAACATTTTGTCTTCTCTTATTGAAAAAAAAAAATCAGAAGAAGATGTAAGCAATGCATGCTTATATGACTCAGGGCACTAGAGCTAGAAGGGTATTTTTTTTCTTGAGATGCATTGTTCCTAAGGGGCGTGCTTTCAAAAGAGCTAAGCACCCAATATCCTGAGATCTCTTAGAAGTGGTCAGTTACTCATTGGCTAAAAAAGTTCTGAAAATACTGAATTAACCACTTATTTTAGGCTTTCCTCCCCTTTCTCTGCAGGATCTGTCATGGGCAGTGCTTAGAAGCAGTCTGCACAACAAAAGGACAAAATGAAGGGGTGATTGCAGTGCTGGGGGAAGAGGGAAGGCACACCTGTCCAAGGTTTTCTCTGACTAAAGATATGATGGCATATCCACTTCTGTTCAGGTTAGTAAGTACAGCATATATTCAGGCTTCCAAGCAGGATTACATAGCCCATGCTGAATTCCATGGCATTACATTTTCATGGCTATTATTATCTGAGCCAGCTAGATCATTCCTAGTGTGGATGTGCCTACCTAACCTGTAATCACACTTCCTTTTGCAGCAAACATGCGCTAAGAGATATGTAAAATCTACATGTACACTCTGGCACACGGCGGGTTACCATGGGTAGGGTAGGGGAGGCTGGGGCTAGCAACTGTGCTGGCCCCAACAGTCTTATCTGGGGTCCTAGGGACCTCCTGGGGCTGCAGCCACAGCAGGAAGCCTGGCCAGAAGCTGGAGTGTGGTTCTGGCCAGCCAGGCTCCAGTTTTGGATGGCATGTGCTGCTGCCATGTGCACTGTCCCACCCTTTTTCGGTGTGGCTTTTTTGACCCCGGGATGTCCTGGGGTCAACCTCCCCGTGTTGCATGTGTGGTGTGTGGTACCACAGACAGGTCTGCAGTGCCACATACCACATGTCCATGCTCTTCTGGATGAGGCCATGGGCTAGTTCACCCAAGATGAACCTTTGGTACACTGTCATCTGCAAGTTCCCATGTGTGAAACACCAACAAGCAGTCACCTCATCTCATTATGGTAACCCTGCCTCTTCTCTCTGTAGGTGGCATGGGGGAAGCAGAGAAGGATACATATAAATATCCAGCACCAGCATAAAACTTATTGGTATGGAGTTGATGTCACTGTTCTTCTTTTGATGCCTTCAAGTCTTATTGGATTTACTATTCTGCTCTTTGTTATGCTACTAAAGTATTTAATCAAATTGGCACAGTAGCATAAAATTTTAACTTCTTCATTAGAAGTGCTGTTAATATGATTTTACATTCTATTAAACAGCAGCTAATTCACCTTCATTCAGCATGAATAAACTTTTGTCTGCATCAAACCAATCCCAGGTGTCCCTGCTTGTCTAATAATGATGAAGGCTAAATTCTGCCTTCATTTATACCTGTGAATTCTCACTAACTTCAAAGAATATAACAAGTCAAAGCTGAATTCAAACTTTTGCTTCTATAGCACTTTTAATCCTTAAAGCATGTGAGTACCTGTGGTGCTTCTGCGCCAGTCCATCCATGCTCTTAGGAGTCCTTTATCCTGTCTGACTCAGTTTTCCTATTTATAAAACTAGAGATAACACTAGCTTCTGCACAGGAGGACAGTAATGTCTCTGCCTATAGCATGATTATATTTACATCTGAAAATTGCCAGTTGAACTACTGTCTGCTGCTGTGTTTGAAGCGTCAGGAGCAAAAGTTACTATAGATTTTGACAGATCGTGCTTGGATATGAGAGTTAGTCAAGTGCAGAACTAACAGGCCAGCTATATTGTACATAGAAGTACAAAGAAGACTCAGTTATGCTGTATTTACTGCATATAAAATACAAACATGCATGCTGTTTGTTCCAATAGGGGGAAAATAGGCTTAAAATCGACTATGTAGGGAACTAATAACTGGCTTTTTCAATAAGGAGCTGGCCTTAATCTGAGACAAACAAACTGTATATTTGTTTCCTGTCAGCCAAAACACTGATAAAAGCTCAACATTTAAAACGGATGAGTTTAAGTTGAATTAGACCATTCCTGTTTGCATGAACGCCATGTACCCCTGGTGGCTGGGGGGGCACGGCGAGCTGTCAGCAGTGGGAGCATGGCGGAGGCAAGTGGGGAGCTGCCACAGGCACAGGCAGCTGCAGCGCTGTTGGTGGCAGGGGGAGGGGGGTGGTGAGCGCCGACCAGTGGTCAGCGGCCACCTGCAGACACCACCGGCAGTGGTGGTGGCAGCCAGTGGCAATCGTGGACCACCTGCAGACACTGCCAGCAGTGTTGGCGGTGGCGGTGGTGGGGTGGGGGATAGCAAGCGGTGACTGCCTGCAGGGGGTGCACCACAGTGCTCAGGGGGTGCATGTGCACCTGCGTGCACCCTCTATGTGTCACCAATGCCTGTTTGTTTCCTGCATGCAGTAGAAAGAAATGAGAGAGAAATTCCATGTACTGTAGTTTGATTTTTTTTTAAGCAACCTAGTAGCAGCAAACTATATTTGTGTGGCTTTGTCCTTTAATGTAAGTGATTCTGATGCTATGCCACCGTCTACAGCTCCTTCCCTGAACTGTCTGCTTTAAAACCTAAATGAAATTCCAGTCAGAGACGGTCGGTCTCATTTCCTGGCTGCGTGCAACTCAGTATTAAATAGCATCTGCAAATAGAAATGAATTTGATAATTGCACATTGAGGACATGATCATGCTTCCATTGGAATCAATGGGCATTTATGTCGTTGGCTTCAGTGGGAGCAGGATTCGACCCTGCAGAACTGTTAAGAAGTTCTGCAGATGAAGCAGAGCTTTGTTCGGTTTCTCAGCACATATTTTACCTAGAGTTGTATGGTGAATTCAGATGAGATATTATTTTACATCTTCATTTATTTATTTGAGAATGTCTTCCCCTGCCTTTCCTAGGGGTGGAGGAACCCCTTGAGAAATGGACCAAGCTTTGACTGCAGAAAGAAGCGTTTAGTTACAGTTCCCATGTAGCTGCTGCTTCCAGGACATGTTTTGCCTCAGGCTGCTGATTCTCTGCTTGCCAGCACGTTGCAACCCTCTCCATTTTGTGTGGTACCTTTTTCATGCAGAAGCCTCTGATCTTTGCTTTGTGTCATGCCTAGGACTGTGTTCTATCCCTGTTTCTCCACAATGAGATTATCCTTCCTCCATTCCTCCCGAGCCATGGAGACTCTTAACATCAGCAGCGCTTTGTTGTAAATGTAGGAACCTGAGACCTTACCCAGAGGTCTCTGTGCCCAAGCTTCGAGGTGATTGGGGCGGGTGAATCCATCGCTTTGCCATTCCATTGGCTATGCTGCCTGGAGAGGGGTGTAAAGTAGCTGCAAGAGTTAGCAGTGGCAAACGTGAACTACAAGCAAATTCCTTCTCTGCTGGCCGTTGAGGAACTTGCCTGCATGCAGACTGTCAGTGAGGCTGTGCTCTTCTTTAGAAATGGGCTCAACAGCAACAGTAGATGAAAGCAGATAGTTGGTTCCTGCGTTATTGTGCAGGAGGAAATGAAAGAACATTTTTACTTACATTCTGGGAGCTGTCCCAACAGGTAGAGTCAGCGTTTAAGCCTTCTTGGCTTTGATTTCTATTATAATATGTCCCTAGCTTGTTTAGACTGGGGTTTGGGAGCTAATATTTGATATGCTACTAATTTCTATCATAATATGCTAGCATATGTACAAGAAAAAACCTTTAATGGCATTAAAGGCAGGTCTAGAAAAGTTGGGTGTTTATACATGTGGTCCGGGGAGGGGGGGCACTTTAATTAGAGCAGCTCTGAGAGTGTTACCCCAGTCAGCACAGCCAGCTGGGGGCCAGGCTCTTGGTGCAACCTAGCCACATGGCTCTGTGCACCCTTGTGCACTTTCAGCACCCTTGTGCCCTCTGCCACCTGATGTCACCATGCATTGCCTGGGGTGACCCTCTTGGTTCCTGCCAGCCTGGGCCTGCTCCGCCCCAGCTCAGATTGCTGCTGTCCAGGATGCACCTGTAGATATTGCACCCAGGAGTAGTTTACTCCGGATCAAACTGCTCCAGAGTTTATTGCTTCACATTAATTGCATGTGTAGATACACTCAGTGTCATGCTGGTTGTGAAAACTGGGATCATGAAGGAATTTTTCCCTAGGTCAGACTGGCATGAATTGGGGGATCTGTTGCCTTCCTCTGTAGTATGGGGCATGGCCTTTCTTAGCTTATATTAACCAAACACTTTTCTGTCATTGCAGTAGCCGGACACTTATAGTGCTCTTGTCTCTCCTGCTTTTACCTATGACAAGTTATATGCTCTTGGTGTGCCTTCTAGTTATGTGAGGGTATGAAGTGGTGGTTTTGGGGATTCCTTAGATAAATGATTGCTTGCAACTAGAGTCAGTGGCCCAAGAAACACTTTCCAGTCCTATGTTTCAATGTTCCTATAAAAAATTTGTATTAATTTAAGTATTAGGAAAAGTTTCAACTGACTATTGGCCCCAATCACAAGGGTGCACTACAAAAGTGCCCCTCAGACACTAACATAATGCATTGGTAGAGCAGAGGTTTGCTCCTGTAAGCAGATCTTCATGGGCAAAGCCAGAGTTGTAGATTCTGACTACGTAGGGCTCCAGTGCGATCCAAGTGGGGATAAGAAACACGACAGAAAATGTCCTAGTTATGCAGAAACATGACAGAAAATACAACTCCAAACTCTGAAAGCCTGTGAGTTTCCTTTTCAACTGGATAATTGCCATTGGATTGATTCTGTTTGTGAGCAATAATGGCTGATTTTTCTAAATTTTGAAAAAAAAATAAACACTATGGTATTAAAATATGTTAGTATCAACCTCATTGTTTTCCAGATAGTTCATGGGGAATATGAGGATGGGAGCCCCTGTGTATCTTGTCATGATGAGAGCAGTGCCTGCAGTTGTTGGGCCCACCTGACTCACCATTTTCACCAGTTTTCCACAAGTGTAACTCCATTTAATTTCATAAAGGGGAGTCAGGGAATTGAATGGCCCACAGTGAACTCAGCTGAATTACCACTGCTTGGAACTAGAGTAATGTAATGGTATATTGTAGGATAATTAAGTGAGAAGGAATTTTCATGGCTATAAATGGAACCCTCAAAGTCATAGAATCTTGATGGTTTTGGGCAACGAGGGTCCTTCTATTTTTCTGAAAATTAGCATGAAATATTTCATTTCAAGGTCATGCCAGAACTAGTGGAACTCTGCTGTTAGGGTTACTCTCCACTGAGATGCACGCTTTTCCTCTTTCTTATGCTGCTAGTACATTGAGTGTTGTTATAAGTGCAATTCACTTATTTTTCTTGCAAAATACAAGAAATGTTTGCGTATTCTGTTGGTTTTCTTTTCCTTGCATGATGTCTGGCTGGATTTGGTAAGCAGCGAGTTCCTGGACTGCATGGTATCATACCATCTCTCTAAAGAAAAAAACAAGTTAAAAAGAAAACTATGTTCTGCTTTTATTAAAATACAGCTTGATGTTAGTGGAGCAGAGGTTTGTCTTTGTGTTTATAAAAAATATATTTACTTTTTTAATACAGCCTTAATTCCTTCAGCCAAGTACATTTACTATGTTCACTTGACAGCACAGTTGTGCTCCATCTGTATCCTGTGAGTCTATATCTTTGGGGCAGAGACTTTCACTTGTCTATAAAGTGTTTAACACGTTTTTTATACTAAATAAAAACAATAAGCTTTAATGCTCTTATGGCTTCATCAAATGCACATGTCCTTAGACCAACACAGCTACAACCCAAACCCCAGTAACATGGGACACACTTAAAACTTTAAAAGGTCAGGTTGTTGAAATACAGGTTTCCCTCGCTTTATGCTGTACATTTGTTCCCAGAAAATGGTGCATAACTTGAATTTGCATGAAGGGAATCCACTTTACAATGTAACAAATAGGGATACATTCCAAGACCTCGACTGTACTGACCCCCAGACCCATTTCCACCACTTTTACAAGACAATTTTGGTACTCACCAACAGAGAGGGGTAGGAGATAAGATAGTGGGACGCTTAGAAGGCATGATGTGGATGGCAACTACAGAAACATGTCACAGACAACGAGTAAGGAGCACAGATCCACGCAGAAGACTATATTTTTGTGTGCATCACTCCCACAATGCACCGC